ACAGGCTTCAGTAGAAGCTGCTGGGACTCCCAGCAGCTTCTACTGAAGCCTTCACCGCTCCCATGTTTTTTTTTGTGTTGCCGTAAGTTAGTCTTTCTCCGTTGGTGCACGGGGCTAATGCTAATAATGCTAATGCCAGCAAATACAATGGCGGCTTCAAAAAACTTTTCAGAGTTTTACGGGGCGTGGTTTCCAATTCGCCCAGCCAATGAGAAATTGGAACTTTTGTCTCCCCGGGAAAGTCCCACCTCTCTAGCAGGGACTGAAAAGGGGGGAAAAGTTCTCATGAACTAAGTTCTCTTTTTGGTGTGAACGCAAAACTCCAGGAACTATCGGAACTAAACGGGAAAAGTACTCCGGTGTGAAAGCGCCTCATGATAAATGAAAAGTTACAGACTAAATCACATATAGCACTGCACCTGTTGAAACAGCAACTCCCAGGTACACTATTCCTGTGATCACGATGGCCAGAAGGGTTCCTCTGGGGATGGCCAGCTGTGGGTCCTGCAACAAAAAACACAACAAAAGCTATCGATCTACACAAACATGGGATTTCTTATCTATAAAAAGGCCTTTAAGTTTGCTCGGTTCGACAGCGTCAATCTAATAAATCTAAATCCATTCCATGAGCATCATCTCAGTAGACTTACAGCGAGGTCTCCAGAAATGTTGGCCCCGGCCAGAATACCAGTGGCTGCAGGGAAGAAGATGGCAAACATGGAGAAGAACGTCTCGCCTCGGAAATCCGGACCCATGTTCTCCCACATGATTGCACCTGATAATACGATAGAGATTAGAATACTGTACGGACAGGGACAGAGCCTTCTTCAGTGCCAGTGTTGCCAACACAGGAGTTAGATATGTTCATTCTGTTGATTTCAGCTAGTTTCATTTAAGTGTGTGGACATACTGTCGTAGCCAAAGTAGCCCAAAGCTTCCTTGGACTTGATGGGGATGAAGGTTCCGATGAAGTAGTTGATGATGGCTGCGATGAGGACAATGAGCAAGAATATCTGGGCCTACGGAGAATTAAATAAACCAAATTATTAGTCACAGCTGATCTCTTACACTAACATGACTTTCAAACACCTGAACCGTTGAAAGAAAATCCATAACATTCATCTGTTTGCAACTTATATCAATATTCCAATTACTTGACTACTCTGCACTATTTCTATTATATTTACTTGCACTATTGTATCGGTTTTATTGTGCTGCACTGTTGGAGGAGCCTGTGACCTAAGATGTTCATTGTCATAACTACACTGTAGCTATGTAAACATGACAATAATCTTGAAATCAATCATGGTGCGTGTCCCGAGTCTGATGGCTCTAGGGAACATTTAGATTTCCAGGAATCTAATGCCTCTGCTCTGCCTTTAGATCTAAACGGTGCTTTATTTTGATTCTTTAAAGGGCTCAAAATGTAAATAGGCCACTATAGTGACGGCTTTTTATAGGTGCCAGGTTCTTGCCATTTTCTAACCTAGTTCAGGTTACCAGGACCACACTTGAGCAATGTTTAAGATAGACTTCGTTTAACCAGGAATAGGGTTTTGTTCCTACCTTGGCCTCCCATTCCATGCCCGCCACAGAGATGCCCAGCAGAAGGATCACCGTGATGGTGCCGATGATGCGGACATCGTTGATTTCATCCGTCATGATGGCATCTACACCCTGCAAGACAAAACATGGAGTTGTTAAAGAGTATAACAATAAAACCCAATGGCTAAAGTTCTTGATTTTTACAGACGATTAGACAGCTGTCTAATGATGGTGAGCTCACACAGTCAATACAATACAATACAATAGGGCTTTATTGGCATGACCACATTTTAAACATAGCATTGCCAAAGCATTCCACACAAGGCGTTATAACAGAACAAAACTAAATCAACACTAAACATAACAGTCCCTATTTGTGCGACTTTTATGTAATAATAATGTAGTAAAACAAGGCTTGAGCAGACTGAATTCATCAAATAAAGTGAGTATGTTTCAATGTTTGTTTTTGTGGTATATGATTCCCTCTGTGTGTGCTTTGCAGAGCTGCTGTAAAGGTAAATGGATCAGCTCCAGCCCCCCCAAAGCCCTACAGGATAATAATGGATGGGTGGATAGATGGAGGGCCAATAAACAGTGATGTATCAGTTAACTTGGCTCATAGGGTGTCGCATTGCCACCAATTCTCTCTGCAGCAAGCTGTCTGTGTGCAGGTGATGGGAAAGGTCAGGTTTACTCAACTCAGAGTGGAAGTGAGACAGGGGTGTCAAACTCAATTTCATCACGGGCCACGTAGGAATTATGGTTGCACTCAAAGGGCCGGTTGTAACTTTAAGACTATATCAAGATACATATATAAATATTTTATATATATAAAATAATGCATTATATTACATGATGGCCTCTGCATTGGATTATTATCTGATAGGGTAATAACTTCATAATTAACTACGTCGCCGTTTGAGGCCGCGGTACGACTTTCATGAAAGTTGACTTATGTGAAAGTCGGGCTCTATTCTCTATTCTTTGTTTACAGTTCGTCTCTAATAAACGCTTCGCATATGCAATTTCAACCGAAATCCGTCAGCCGATTGTAAACAACATTTCAACCAACTCAGTCGGAAATGACCCGAACTTTCCATGACTGGTTTAATCACGGCACAGGTGTATTTTGGAAAATGACCCGTCTTTCCGCGACCGGTCCCGAGACGCCCTCGGCGGAGAAGGATGGTAAATGATGTATATTATTATAAAATGGAAGAAATCAATAAAAATAAAAGGAATAAAACTCCTACACATATAAATCGAAGAAAGACATATAAAGCTGTAATACGACGTGTACGGAACAAATGTACGGCGGCACTGCTTTTATTGAAGGGTTTAATCCTAGATAAGTTGCATTTAGATTAGATTTTTAGATTAAAACGTAAGCTCTTTTTCGCCACGTAAAGGAAAACCAAACTCAACTCATTCCTGCTAGGTGAATGCGCTCTAATTTTTTTTTTCACGTTGTAAGCCAAACCCCCCGGCCAGTCCAGTCGATATAGTTTACTCGCAGTACCGAGAAACAAAAAACGCATCAACCAGGTAGAACCCTGTTTGTGCGCCGTTTTTTGTTCGAAGGGGTTAAATAGACTTTTATACAAAGTTGAAATCAAGAGTTTCGCCACGACGGTGTTTTTCCAGTTCCTCGGGAGTTTCTTCTGCGAACCGACTAGACTTACAAGAGACAAGAGTAACCTTAGTTAACTCCGAACAATCACCCCGGAGGGAGCTCCTGTCCTGATACGATCACGAGTACATTCAGTAGTGACGACATACATATTTGTTTTTCCTTATATGTAATGTAAGTTAATTTTATTATTCTTTAGACAACAAATTAGAGTTGTAGACAGTGTAAGTCAAGTGATAGGTGATTGAAGACAGGTAAAAGGAAAACGTCCACCCCTCGCGATAAATGAACTAATAGCTCCCTCAGACCAGGCCTCAAACCTCCTAGGTAGCGAGACTAGAAACGGAAACGGGTTGCGTCACCGACATCGGTACATGCACGCACCCCGGAAGTCGACTTTGGCAACACCCTCCGAAAACGGCATTCCAGAGCATACGACGGAAACGTACGAGAACCAGTCCCCACCAGTTTGAGTTCCGGGCCCGAACAGTTTTAGGCGGCAGGCGTTGAAATTAAAGCAACCGGGTGTTGTCGGAGATTTTCTTTAACATTATACGAATTAATAATCCACATGAGTTACGGCCTAAATGTCTTCGTGCAACGGGTATTTGAATGTACAGGGTGTTACGTAAGATTAACCTAAAAAAAAGAGTCTAAAAAATGAAAAAAAAGAGGTTTTATACGAAAAAGACAATCTATAAAGAGGAAAGAGTCCTTAAAAAAAAACAGTGAAAAAAAAGAAGTTTTACATTGAAAAAAAATTTTTGAAAAAAACAAGGTCTAAACCGAAAAAAAATTTTTTTATTAGTAAAACACTGTAAGAGTGATAAATCTCTGAACGTTAATGAACGGGATCGTGAAAG